AGGGAAGAGCTAGGGGGTTTAAGTAATTTTGGAAAATACAAAGAACAATCTTTCTGATGAGTGTGCTTAGAAAAAGGAGCAATAAATCCACCAAGCTCAGTGCTGTTTGACTCAGCTGAGAAGGGAGGAGGTGTTTGCTTCGGCAAAGTATCCTTTCAAATCTCAAGAGGTTCCTTAGGCCAAGATCTTTGGTCTCAGATAGATTTATGATGCAAAAATGCTTTCTCAGCCTTTTCCCAGCTGTTTACAGAAATGAGACATGTCTTAAGGAGATTGTACACAAGTCCAATAATATTTTAGTGAGACAGGAAGAATGCAGGAGATGGAGGGCTTTATAATAACACATTCATTACCACATGAAGTGATTCAAAAAATGTTTGCATGCCTATGTATGACAGATCTTTCATAATAAGTCGCTAATGAATGTTGGAGGCAAAGCACAGGATTCTTTCAGAGAATGGGTAATAGTCTAATGATGGTGAAGTAAATTTAATCATGTTAAATGCAGTTCCTGCTTCTTTGCAATTTTGTCACATTTTGAAGCATGTTCACTGAAGAAAGTAATAACTTAGAAGAACTAAACTCTGAAAGCTAATTGTTGTTTCACGTGAGTATTTACTACCAAGAGTGTTCAGTGGACTTGATTGATCTGGGCAATGCAAAAAGGTGAGACCACAAGCACAAGAATTTTATAGCACCTATAAAGTACTATATACAGTTTTTACTCAATTTTATGCTGTTAAACTAAGCATTTGGTATCATATGGCACTTTAAGTACTTTGATTTATGTTAAGACAGAAATTGCATCTGTAATAAACATTTTAAAGTATGAGTTTAAGAGTAATCTGCTGTATTTATTTGTGACATAAACACTCACCTGCAATGCATTTGAGAATCGTCTTAGCCTTAACTCACACTGCACATTACAGCCATTAAGCTTCAGGAAACAGCAAGGTCATATCCAAGGTGAAGACAGAAGTGACTGGGAAGAGAGGGGTGGTGTGGCAAGCATTTTGAAATAGCAAATGGGAAAATATTCTTTTTCTCCTGTTCAATATTCCAGATACATGACCGTAATTTCTTACTGTACTGTAAAGAGTCCTACGTTATACTGAACAAGATAAAGTACCAATCCAGTCTTGCTTAATATGAAATATTTAAGCACACAGCCATGAAAAAAACATGAAAAACCCACTGACATATTTGATTTTAAATATAATCTAATTGCATGTGTTTCAGGTTTATGAAAATTCCCTCACAGATGGATGAAAGCACAGAAACCCTTTGTGGTACTACAACTTGCCACGGTGTCCATGTGAAGAATGCTTCCACCATTATCACCTTCACTATTCTGGTATTGAATTAATTATGCTCATTAGAAGCTGCTTAATAGTAACACAAAGTGGTAATTTTAAAATTATTTGGGTAGCTTTTTTAATAGCTTAAATAGTTTAATCCTTCCATCTTTGAATATGTTTTGTATGATAGTAATAGAGTGTTCGTAGAGTGGTAATAATGCAAGTGTTTAGGAATGAATGGAATTGTTACGAATGAATGACAGGGCTTTACTGGCAGAGTGGGATGTTAACACTTATTAGTTTATTTCTTAGGATATCACAGAATATGTGAATTCAGGTGGATCTCTGGTTTCCCAAGAGCAAGCAGAAGAGAGGTCATGAAAAAGCAAGACACATTATAAAATCATGAGCTTGAAGTTTTCAGGGTAGTACAGTTCATTTGGGTAATGACTTGGATAAAAAAACAACAACAACAAAAAAAAAAACAACCCAAACCCAACAAACAACAAACCCAGTATTCTTTAGTTTAAATAATAAAGTTAGAGAGAAATCACTAAACAATATTCAACCTTCCAGGTCGCCTGTGCTGATCTAGCCTTGTTTTATCGCTGTTTTTACAGGAAAAGGAAGGAGACAGTCTTTTTCTGTTTGTTACATGTTGATGGAACAGTGGCACACAGGACATCTTACGGTAAGGAAACCTTGGACTGCAATGTTAGAGTTTTCCATAAACTGAATGGAACAAGAAGATATCAAGCCAGTGCTTAAAATTTTACTGCTAAGTTTGCAGACAGTCAAGATGATATCCTTTGCTGAGTATTTATTTTTCCAGGTATCCTTTGCCATGGTACTTGGCAGAGCCAACCTACCATGCTTGTCAGAAGCTCTCAAAACTGCTTTTGCAGAGTGCATTTTTTTGGTCTTTAATGTAAAAAGCACTGCAAGAGAGGTGCCCAGGATAAAATCCTGATCCGCAAGTCAGCTTGAAAGATTGTAAAATTTTTTGTGGTAGTTAATTGATTAATTGAAGTCAACCAAATAAGAGCTTTGGTGAGGATGTCCCTAAAGCCTCTGAAAGCTGTTCACTTCTATGCTTTCCATTGGCATACACAGCTGAATCTGGGCCATAATATTATCATCCTACATGAGAAATTGCAGTTTAATAGGTCTACTCACTATGTGGTTTTCCTATTACTATGATTATGGAGATAGAAAGCCTTTTTGAGCCCTAGGAGATGAAATCTGGGATTTTAAATATCCTTTAAATATCCTCACTGATACAATTGATCCAAAGTTACAGAAGATAGTTTGTGTGGGGTCCTTTCGTCAAAGTGCTGGCATTATGTCACTGCCCATGAAAGTTACATGTTAGGTTTATTTGAAATCAATATGAAAGTATTATACTTTAAATAATAAAATCGAAGTATTACTGCTTAAGCAGTGATAAGGCATTAAAATGGCTCCTCTGAGTGTGTGCTGGTTACCTCTCTTCCAGCTTTAACTACTACTTCTCTGAATTTACTTGTGCCTTCTGAACTGACATTTAGAAATAGTTACAGGGACATGTTTCTGATGATACTAATCTGGGACTCTACAGATTTGTTGAGTTGAACTTTGCTGGGTACAACTACCTGGAATTTTATAGCATAGGCTGTTTTGTTTCTTGTTGTGAGGGTTATCTTTCTTGACTTACAGTATAATGCCTCTGAAATACCTGTGATTTAAGATTATGCTCAAAATAATCAAAATAATGAAGAAGCAGCTGTCAGCCATAGAGAAGTCAGTTCTTTTGACTCTGGCTCTGTATTTCATGATCAGGGTGGGCTGGGGCTCCCTTCACCCGTATCAATAAGGGATCCAGATGTGTCCTGAGGCTTCTCAGCGTTTTCTTACTGAGAATGACAGTGGGAGTGTAGTCTGGGGGCTCTGGCTTTTTGCAACAGCCGTATTTGTGTCCTGGAGGGAAACCAGAGTGTGTGCATGAACAAATAATGTTCTGGGGATCACAGAGACCTGGAAAAGTACTGGGTGGTATGACAACGGTCTCCTGGAATAATTGGGCTGGTTAGCTAGGAAAAAAAAAAGACTATATTTACGTAGGCTTCGCTACATATAACTTCGTTTTCCAAAGTTATCCCCTTTATCTGTGTATATAAACTATTTCCTTTTAATTATGCCCGCTATGAAACTCAAGGTGATCTGCACGTTCACGCATTACCTTTGAGCTCCCTCAAGCGGCAATGAAACCCTCAGGTTTGTTGCGTGGGTGCTCCCGCAAGGAAGCCTTGCTGTTTAAGACCATGTTTTTTAAAAGCGACTATATTAAACTGAAAGAGCTGTTCTGATTTCAAGAAATCTAGACTAGTTCAGGGCAGTTGGAAATGTGACACTATTATTTCACAACATAGTTATCTTTTGACAGTTCTGTTAAAAAAACGTGTGTCAAGTGAATAGTAAGCATTTTATGCCCCATAGTAGTTTGTGACAGAGCTTGTTTGCGCTACAGGCACATGGTTCCAGCGTGTTTTGAAAACTTATTTTACTTTCTTGAATGGTTGCAGATAGAACTAATGACTGAGTAGCTGGAAGGTGGACATATTGGTTCATGTCATTTCAGATAAGACTTGACACTTTTTTCTATCACTCTGAAAAGGTAAATAAATCCTTTGGCTTAAATAACAAATATTTCTGCCATCATTAAGAACATGTTTTAATCAAAAAGCACCATCCCTCAGTTGGTGGGTTCAGGTCATCTTTGGTGTAAGAAGATAAAATTTGATGGAAGACTGGACTTTTTTATATTGAATAAATAGCTTTTTCAAGGATTTCTCTAATATGGGAATACCTTTTAGGACCTAAAGTAAAAAGTAAAGTAAAAAGTAAAAGACTTCACTATCCAAAAGGGGGGGGGGGGGGGGGGGGGGACACGGGACGGGGGGACGGGACGGGGGACAATGAAGAAATTTTACAAGCTTTTGCATCTGTGTGCTTATTACAGGATTATTGCAATGTACCCCTTAACCTTTCTTTTTACTTTACTTTTGTTTTTATTTTAGTATTTTATTTATTTGGGGGGTGGTGGTGGTGGTGGTTGGGTTTTTTGAGTTTGAGACCTGTTACAAGAGGTTTATTCTTCTTGAGTGTCTCAAGAAAAATACTGGGGTAAAAAGCCGAAGCTTAATCATGGGAGGAGAAAGCCAGGTGAAACTGTGGAGGAGGCCAGGACATATCAGGGCCGAAGTGCTGGCTGCCGTTATTCCTTGGCACCTCCAGCTCCAGACAGGCAGCACGCGGGATGGGCAATCTGCCAGCAGGAAAACGAAACACACCTCCCGGGTTTTATGGCTTTAATCAGCCGGAGGGCAGAGAGGCACCGTTCTCCACAGACCTCGCTCGCCGTTTGTCAGTGACAGGCCTGCCCTTAACATGCTTTTACATAGAATAGGAGGCTACAGGTGCTGAAACCTGGAATAATGTCCCACCAGCTGCGTGCCTAAGATAAGGTTTTGTCATTGCTGCGATGCTGGGCACGGTTTCTGTAGCTGATGCTCTCACCATACCATTAAGTCTGTTTAGGGGTTTGCTTTGGGGGCATTTGAAGGAGTTTTTTGCCGCTGTTAGGCTCCTGTTTAGCTCAGGAGCAGGTTTAGTCCCACCGCCGGACCGCTACCATGGAAACGTGACACGTGAGCCACGGGGAGATCACGTGTGTGCAGATCACGTGACGGCGGCTGCGATGGCCGAGGAGGAGCGGTCGCTGCTGGGTTCCGTCGGTGGTGACGATGGCGGCGGTTCTGCGGAGCCCGTCCGTTCCCTGCCCTCCGCCTGCGACCCGCGGTGCTTGCCGCACCGGCTCATTGTCCTCACGCTCATGTGCTTCCTGGGCTTCGGTGGGTGGCGGCGGGGGCGTGCGGGTGCCTGTGGTACTGGGGGCAGGGCTCTGAGGCATCCCCTTCTCTTTGCAGGCAGCTACTTCTGCTACGACAATCCAGCGGCTCTCCAAACGCAGGTTCAACGGGTGAGTGGCTGCCTTCGGCCAGAACGGGGTTACGGGGTGAGGGAAGCACGGGCAGCGGCGGGGTCGGACAACGTGCTGCTGCTCCTTAAGTAGCTTTGCTTAGATACTTGTTCGGTGTCCCTGTAATTACCTTGAGAGTAAGTACTTTTTTTTAATTCCTCCCTCCTTTATGTAGGATATGAAGGTGAACACAGCTCAGTTCATGGCACTCTATGCCTGGTATTCCTGGCCTAATGTGGTTCTCTGCTTCTTTGGAGGTTTTCTGATAGACAGAGCTTTTGGAATACGGTAGGTGTGATCATAGTGTCACTTACCTTCAATGGGTGGTAAAACTTAAAGTGCATGTGAAGTATAGGCTGTGTAATACAGAGTTTTTCAAATTATAATAATGCCTTTCAAATTATAATAAGCTTTTCCAAACTTTTTTCACATGATCTTGGAAATTCCACTGGCATAAATGAGCTTCCTTCTCTTAAATAAAGTTCCTTCAAAAATGGCATCCTGTACTACCATTTTTTTAAGGAAGCTGTCAAGTTGTAGCATTTATTACAGGGATCTTTTATTGCATATTAGTTCCACTTGTTCCCTTGCTGTAGGTCTAATGTAGTGTCTTATAGGGAAAAAAGGTTCTAGCTATGCATTAAGTGATTTTAATTTCCTTACAGGTTGGGCACTATAATATTTAGTATCTTCGTTTGTGCTGGGCAGGTAAGTGCAAATGAGAGGGTGAAGGGTGATGCTTGTCTGAAGGTTCTTTACTGGGGCTGGGGAGAAAAAGCCCAGATGGCCTTTTGTGTAGTGGTGGGTATTTCAGATGGGAGTAGGCAGGTGAAGAGGAATGAAACGGGTGAGCCCTGGGTTTTACTGGGGCAGTTGGGAACAGATGAGGTACCTGGGAAGAGGGGACCTGGAAGATGAGTGAAATAATGTAAAGGAATCAAATGTTTTATTTGTTTGTTGTGAAACTACTATGTAGGTGTATTTGGGTCGGGTATGACGGTATGGTGGAAACATGACTTGAACATTTAGAGGTGTTTCTAAGCTAAGTTTCAGGGTGGGTCAGGTTGGATATCGTTTAGCCAGCTGAATGATGAACAAGGCCAAGGGAGCAAAGGCTATAAGCTAGGAATGAAGTGGGTGTGAAGTATTTGTGCAGATCTGGGAAAGAAAGAGCATTTTTGTATCTGTTTTGAGATGGTTCTGCTTTGTTCCATACTTCAAATATAAAATCAAGATTTTTCCTTAAACACTTGTTTGCCAGGTAGTTTTTGCTTTGGGAGCACTCCTTAATACTTTCTGGCTGATGGATGCAGGCAGATTCATTTTCGGGTAAGTCTAGAAGAGCGTAGTATTTGCTGTCTGAGGTAAGGACTGGCTTTGTGTCCTAGAGACCACTACCATGTGTACGCTCGGAGACAAAATCGCTGGATATTGAGGCATCTATAAAGTTGAGGTATGCAAGATCTTCAGTTGTGTTCCCAGTCTAGTCTGAAGTTAGAAAACAGAAAAAATAGTACATTCAGTAAGCTGATAAAACTGTGTTACTCCTCTTTTTAATTCTTACTTTCCTGAGTCTTTAGACTCAGGAAAGCAACAGCAAATACAACAGGGCTGCTACAGTGGCAGCAAATGTGAGAAGAAAAACCTCCTAGGTGTAAATGTGCCAGAGCATGAAAATGTTACAAAATCTGACCAACTGAACTGGGGGGTGGGCAGATGACTCTATGAAATTCTGACTCCAGGTAAGATGCCTGCTTTTGGTTTCATTTAGGTCAGGTTTTATAACACTGCAGAAGAGAAATTATAAACTGCTGCTTACTGATTTAATTTCTCTAAATGACCAAAGGCAATTATAATTGGTTCAAGACTACTTAAGATACCTTGTACTCTCAATTATTCTTAAGACCTTGCAATTCTTTTTTTGAATTGCCTTTTAAGAATTCTGTTGTCTTCTATATATGCATTAGATCTACTTACACACAGATATATTTCTCTGAAATAGTCATTTTGGAATTGCCAGCAGCTGATGGACTGCTTCCTATTGCTTTGCCTGTTGCAGTTAATGTGTTTTCTTTTGTGCCTTCCTTTTTTAGAATAGGTGGAGAGTCCTTAGCAGTGGCACAAAACACGTATGCAGTCAGCTGGTTTAAAGGCAAGGAGTTAAATCTTGTGTTTGGATTACAGCTAAGCATGGCCAGAATTGTAAGTGTAAAACTGTGTAGCTTTAATTTGTAGACCTTAGGGTGTGCGGTTTGTATGGGCAGTGAGACAGGTGGGAAACAGCATTTCTAATGCTTCTGAGTAGTTTTTGTAGTAAATAGGCAAAGGATACACAAGGAAATGGTTTAATAAGATTTCTTAGAACCTGTCAAACTTCTTTAGAAGACTGGTGGTGTTATTAATATAGACTGCTGGGTGGGACAGTCACATTGCTGTTTTTCATCAGATTGATTGTTGGTACAAGCACTTAAACTGCTGCTAGAGCTGGGTTTACACTAATATACCAGGCTGGGAATGAAGAGAGCAGAGACATCCCTCTTCTGTTAGGGCTCCTCCAGCAGCTTGTGGTATCTTAAACCACTGCAGGTTATTTGCCTCAGCAAAAGAGAGTTAGATAGTCACAGCTGGGTCAGGCTGTTGCTAACTATCAGTTGTTGCATCTCAGCTGAGCTGCAGTTAACTGTCTTGTTAGCCTTCATTTTGGAGCTATGGACACCTTTTCTAGGGACAGAAGGGAGTTGGGGGAAGGTGCTTCTTCCTGGTGCCTGTCAGGTGGCAATCCTGTTTACTTTAACATGAGATACTAAATTTAATTAAATTAGTTTCTGAGCCAACACAGTGTATGATGTGGATTTTATGTCACTTTAATATCTCTGTTGAAACACAGTTCTATAAAATTTCAGTTTGTGATGGTATATTGTTGTTACAATGATGAATTTGTTACAAAAGTGACCAAAACAGCAGGAAATAATTTTATGTTTGGTGCTGATAGTTTATGATCCCTGCGTAGCGTCTTACCTGTTTGTTTGAAACAGTGTTCCATAAGCAGTTTGCCTAATGTTCCTTTTGAATTAATAGGATTGTGAAATGCATAATTGTTCACATGAATCTGTTCTGCCTAGGGAAGCACAGTGAACATGAATATCATGGGATGGATATACTCTAGAGTTCGAGCTCTTCTGGGGTATACTGGTCCCAGTACTCTTGGGTTAACTCTCATGATAGGTCAGTAATACTTCGAATTGATGTCATCTGCTATTTTGGGCCTGTGAATGTTAACAGAATGCATACATGTTAATGTTTTCTCACTAACTTGAAAGTAGGATGCGTATGCTTGAGACTAGGAAGAGCAGTTCAAATACTGTTTGTATCGATGGCTAATATTCTTATACAGAGTGTATGATTACTGCATCTGCTATAATGTTGTGTGATTATTTGCCAAACTCAGGTTTATATCTTATGGAGATGAAACACTTCATGTGCTTTGAGTAAGGGACAGACTTGAAAAATACTTCTGAAGGGTATCATGTCAAAGCTTGCATGTAGTTGTCTGATGTGTAAAAGTGAAATTTCCACTGCCTTTGGATCTTTTCCTTCAGCTGTGGGTATTGAGGGCCTGGTGCTGGTAACAAGGCACAGGTTTTTTTCTCTTATTACAGGGTGCAGATAAGGAGCTTGGCTGTGCTGAGTGGGAGTGGTGGTAATGTTTTAAATAAATATTTTAAAGAAAATGAATGTAGTTACATGTTTGTAATCCAGTCAAAGGTAGATGTCTCATGTGGTAGGCTTCAGTATTTACACCTTATTCTTTGAGTTGTATAGCTATTAAGTCTTACATATAAGAGAAGCTGGTGTTAAACCTAGTTTTTGTTAGATATGTAAAGGTATGCTAAGCTAGTTGTGCATAAAGCTGAATTGCTGCTTGACTCAACAACTAAACATGTCGCATTGCCTTCTTGCAGGTGGCGTAACATGTCTCTTTTCACTGATGTGTGCATTAATCCTTGCTTATCTGGACAAGAGAGCAGAGAAGCTCCTTTCTAAAGAGCAAGGGAAAACAGGTGAGTGGGAGCGTGGTGTGGCTGAACCTACCTTCAGCTTCATTCTAGAGCAAACCCTTTCAGTTACACTCTGTGCACTGTGCAGGTTTGTGTTTTAGGTAATTCAGTGGCTGCTGTGTCTTTTTCTGCAGTTGTCTTTAATAATAATTTTTAGTTCCTTTTAATATCAGTAGGAAGTTTCAGAGTTTTAAACACCAGTTTACAGGCAGATGCACTGTAATCTGCTTTATTTATAAAGCATGCGGAGAGCTTCCCACTTCACAACAATTTGATCTGCATCATTGTGTCTAGAATTTTGTAGGTGTGCAAAACCATGCAGCTGTTCTCTGTCAGCATGTGGTGTTTTGAGTTTTCCATGTGAGAGAATTCAGACTAAGTAAAAAAATAAACTCAATTTGAGGTCCAGGTAAGAGCATTTAACATGAAACTTCAGACATGAATTTTGCTAGCTGGGTAAAGATTTCCTTGAAAAAGTGGTTTGTATTTAATTCTGATGCATAAGACTTTTGGAGGCTTTAGAGAACTCGTACATTCAGCTTAATGTAAAAGGGACAATTTGTTCTTGACTTTGGTATTGTTGATTTAGCACTTGTATATTCTTAACTGACTGTGTAAATTTTAAACAAGGGAGTAGACAGTGGCAGGAATATATGCGTTAGTAATGACTTGTGATCACCTTAATGTTTAGTCAATGTGGATGAATTTTAGCTATGCTTATGCTGGCTGAAACAGTATTGTCTCTTGCCTCACTCCAGGTGAAGTGATTAAGCTAACTGATGTGAAGGACTTCTCTTTGTCCTTGTGGCTTATATTTGTAATCTGTGTCTGTTACTATGCAGCAGTTTTTCCTTTCATTGGACTTGGAAAGTAAGTATTTTCCACTTATGTAGCTATTCCCCTTGAATGTGGCTAGGGGCTTAACTAGATGCTGGTGAAAATGCTAGCATTATTGCTACTACTATTTAAGAATCACAGATGCCTACAGAATCCCTGGTCTCCCAGCAAGTCTGTGCTGTGGTTTGTCATATAGTTCTGTGACATTGTTCACTATACTTGCGATACAAATAAACACAGCTCTTACGTCTTCCTTATCTGTCGAGCTTTGTGGGAAATGCCATTGCTTAACATAGGCTGAGCTGTCAGAACTCCAAAGCATAATGCATGCTCCATTTCCTGATTAAAAGTTGGTACAGATTTAAAGCATGGTGTGAGTTTTGGTGTGGGAAGCTGCAGACAGCTGTTGTATAGAACTCCTTCCATATGTGTAAGCTATTAACTGAGACATGGGGGTTTAAATATAGTTACAGCTTTGGACTGAAGTTCTCTTACTGTGCTGACTTTGGTATATTTATCATGTTGAAACTTGGGGCATTCATATGTAGGTTTCCCTTTTGAGCCACATTACTTGACCTACAATCTCCATCAAATGGCTTTTGAATATATTTGGATTTAGAAACAGATCCCTTGAGCTCAATGTGTGTTTTATAGTGAGTGAGATGGAAAAGTCTGAGAGACATTGCAGTCAGCAATGCAGATGTCTATTTTTTGCTTGTGCATCCTTCTGTATTCTAAAAATTCTCACTCTCTTAGAATACTCTTACTGCTAATGTCTTATTATTGGGTTATATGTTGGTTATGTACTTTGGCTGTTTTCCCCAAAGTGTAATTTGAATAGTCCTTAGACACAAATTTGTAGAGTCTGATAATAAGCTCCTAAATGAATTATAAATGACGCTCTGTGGTGGGATGTTAATGTCAAACCTATATAGCTTTAATATATATTTTAAATTTTCTTGTACACTAGGTTCTTGTGTCTTTAGTTTAATTTTGTGTCTAGCTTAATTTTGCTTTCATGTCTGTGCATTTTTCTAAATCTGTTTTTTTTTTTTCTTTAGGGTTTTCTTTATTGAGAAATTCAAATTCTCACCTCAAGAAGCAAGTGCAATTAACAGGTATACTGTGGTTGATTTAGTAAGTAAATGTGCTGCTGCTGTGTTCTAGGGGGATGTGTATCTTTGGGCTCTGACCATGTGGGAGGTTTTGGATCTACTGTTGTATGTGGTGACTTGTATTAAGTGGATAGATAGATTTCAGATGTCTCAAGGCATAATTGTCTTGCATATTCACACTGAGGAATTAGAAAAAAAAGGCTCTGTCTGAAGGCTATTGTTTTCTTCTGAGTAACAAAAGCAGTTTAATAGCAACACTAAATAAACTAAATTTTCCTAGTCTGAAGATGAATATTTGATGTGGAAAACCCCCAAACAAATAAAAACAAACAACAAAACACTTGGTGGTATCTGATTCCAAAAGCTCTGAGTATGTTACTGTTTCCTTGGATGTCAAGTGTTTTCATGTCCTCAGATATTTTGGGAGTTTTGAAATCTGGAGTCTGTTGCTACAGGGGATTTTTGGTGTATTTTTTCTTATGGCCTCACAGGTAACAAGGTAATATGGTGTTTTATCTGGAAACAGCTGTACTGTATAGCACCTAAAGCTATCCCTGGCTAGACAGTGTTCAGTTCTCTATTTTTATTCTTTTGTAGTATTGTGTATATTATATCGGCACCCATGTCACCAGTCTTTGGACTCCTGGTGGATAAACTTGGGAAGAATATCATCTGGGTTTTATGTGCTGTAATAACTACACTAGCTTCTCATATTATGTTGGCTTTTACCTTCTGGAACCCCTGGATAGCAATGGTAACTATTCTTTCTGACTTATAGCTATATATGATAAAACGAGAAATAAAGTTGATCCTGAATTGTTTTGCATAAGTAGCCACTGTCTTTGACTCTTTAGAAAGTCTTCAAAACCTGTTTTGATATCCCCAACTTTAAGAAGGATACACTATTTGAAAGTGAGTATGAAGACGGTGAAAAAACAAAGGATGCATAATACAGGCAAAACTATCATTAGCTATCTGTGGCCTAAAGATAACATTTCAGGTTTTGGTGTTTTGTGGAGAGAGGCACTAGATATTTATGTGTGTTTTGAGGTGGAAAAGACTGGCAGCTGCTGCCTGTAGCAATAGTTCTATAGCTGTTTAGTGCAAAGAGATGTTCAGCTTCTTAGAAGGGTGGGATTAGACTGGAAGTCTGTATGGAGTGGCAATTCCTTGTCCTTTCAGAGAAGTCTTTAGTTCATCGCAGTATCTGTGTTTTGATGGTGCTGTATTGCAGAGGTCTGTTCTCATGCTTTGTGGACACTACTTACACTAGCTATTGCTAGGTTACTGTGCTAGATGCTTGCTTTTCTCCTGAAACTTGTTCTTTTGGTGTAGTTCTGCTTATTACTATTACTTAAACTGTCTCTAATGCGCTGTATTGGATAGCAGGAAACTTCAGTAAAAAGCTTTGTTATTGATTTCCCCTTCCTAGGGCAGATTCACTAAGAAATTGCTTTTGAACTAAGGTTTACAGGCTTAAATACAGTACTTACCAGCGTATCAGTGTTTAAAAATAGGGACCTTGTTTTTCAGGTATTTTCTAGTGAGTTGCAGCATTGATCTTTTCCATTAGGTATTAAAGTCAGGCTCTTAATGCTAATTAGGGTTTAGTTTGTGGGTCACTCCTGGAAAAACTTCTTTCTCCTTCTAAATGTGCATATGTATTTAGACCAATATTGCAAAAGGTGTTAAGTGTTGGGTTTTTTTTGTTTGTTTTTTGTTTTGTTTTTCTCCCTTTTGGGAGAAGGGGAAAATCAATATGTTCATTTGTTATAACTTTAGAGCAGAAATGCTTGTCATCTAATATCTGTTGAATTGTTCTTATTTCACACCAGTGTTTGCTAGGAGTGGCGTACTCACTGCTTGCCTGTGCCCTGTGGCCCATGGTGGCCTTTGTTGTTCCAGAACACCAGTTGGGAACTGCTTATGGCTTGTAAGTACTTAAATTTGTCCATCTGTGCTGCTTTACAGTGACTATGTCCTGATACTATTAAACCACTGAATATCAAGCAGTTACATGTTAATGGTTACGAATTTCTCCAAGTTCCATCTTGCAGGAAGTGTAGTTTCAGCATATGTGTAGTAGAGCATGTGGTTGTGTAGATCATAGTATCATAGAATGGTTAGGATTGGAAGGGGGGTTAAATATCATGTACTTCCAACCCTGCACCATGAGCAGGGACACCTTCCAACCAGGTTGCTCAAAGCTCCATCCAGTGCACAGAAACCTGCAAAAATGCAGAGTCATGTGTCTGTCATATGTCATAGTGAACGGAGAGAAGTTAATCTTCTTGTTTGACCAGTGTCATTAATGTTTTCTTTAAAAAGGAATTTCTACACAGTGGTAATCCTTTGTTTATGTGTTAGCATGCAGTCCATCCAGAATCTCGGTCTGGCAATTATTGCTATAGCAGCAGGGATGATTCTGGACACAAGAGGATACTTGTTTCTTGAAGTCTTCTTCAGTGCTTGTGTTTGCTGTAAGTACTAAAAACATTGAAAGTGAATTCTGTGCATTCAGGAAGCTTTATCAGGCTTTTTTCTTGATATTTCTTGTAAGACAGTAATACCTCCTTTCTTACAGTTAGGTAGAGGTTTCAACTGGGGCGATGTTGAAAGTAACTGAAACCTAGTGAAGTGTTTTGTGGTTTTATTGAAGTGATTTATTGTAAGTAGTTTCGATGTCTTGAGAAAAGAGAAGTGAGTGAAAGGGTAGGTAAATGATACTCTTAAAGGCTGTGTCTGAGGGCTGTTTTTAATGTAACTAAAACTAGAGCAACCTTTTCTGAGTTACCATGCTACTTACAAGCATAATGGAATTTTCCAAAGGAGTTAAGAGATGCCGCTGACAAAAATCTCCCATTAGTTACAACTGTCATGAAAAATCTTGGTTGTTGCTCAGTTGTATGTTAAAGCTGTTCTTCTGTTGTAAATTTGTCGGCTAAAACTGCTCCTCTTTCTTTTTTTGTGTTTTTTTTTGTGTTATTTTGGTTTTGTTTTTTTGTTTGTTTTTTAGTGTCACTAATAGCTGTAGTCATGCTGTATTTTGTGAACCACCTTACAGGTAAGCAAGTGTTTTCAGCTTCTCTTGATACTTATTTTTATCATAATTCTTGAAGTTATCAAGCTGAGTTTGATAACTTGATATGCAGGTAGTGTTGTATAGCTCATGGCTTTGGTACCAGGAGCATCTCTTGATGAAGTCAGTCTCTGTAACATCATCTTTGTCAATGCTGTAGTGTGTAACACCCTGAACCTTGCTGTGATGTGAAGCCTTGTCACAGGGCAGGGGTACCTATCCCTTCAGCTGGCTTGAACAGATGTGTGGGGTATTCTGCAGCTTTTTCTAAACTGTGTATCAAACTTGACTGTGTGCATATCTGCAAATATGAAAACTTAATTCTGTAGACTTTTCTTCAAATATCAGTGTTCTTTCTCAACTGTTTTTTGAAGCAGTTACTACTGAAGGACCTGGAACGGATATTAATTTATTTTTTTCAAAGTTGCTTCCACTTTCTTTAGTTTTCAGGAGTGTTATGGTGAGTTGTAGAGAAACTTCATTGTTATTCAACAGAAAACTGGATCAGGTTGGAGAGCTTAGTTTGGGTTCTGAATTTGCGTGCTCAGATGATTATGAAAACGTTGCTCTTTACCTCAGTTTCTACTTTTGTGTAATTACTCTGCTGATTTCTTCTGTAAAGTGCTCAGAGAACTTCTGTAGAGAGGTATGATACCAAAGATACAATACAAAAAGACCAATTTTAAAAGTTTCAAGTGTATTCTACTTCTGTTGCAGGTGGTGATCTCAACTGGTCTGCGAAGAAAAGGGAAAAACTGCAAAAAGCAGCTGCAGCTGAGTAAGTATAAAGAACAGTGTCCTTAGGAAATGTTTAACCTGAAGTGATTAAGTAGATTACTGTCTGAAGTCAGTCTCTTGTAGGTCTGACATTTGTACTGAATGTTATTTTCTTTCTTACCGGTTAGTAGTAGGATTTCATATTCCTGCCTCCTCTAAATGGATAATTAGAGGAAGTAGCAATTAACCAGGTGTCCTTTCCTGGCACTCTTCCTTGCTATCTTCTTTGTTTTAGTGGCCTTCCAACTGAGTGGAACTGAAGTGTGTTTAAAAAATGTTGTATTGCTTATTTAAAAATGCACTTCATTTATGGTGTGCAACTGGCCCAGTTAGCAGCAAACGTGACCTGGATTTAATGTTAGGTAATGCATAGACCAACTTTTTTTGAAGTGTCATTAAAAGCTAGATTTCTCTTCAGAAGAAACTGCACTTCAGTCACTTACCCTTCAGTTTCAGCATGCTCCTGTTGCTATCTTATTTAGTAGTCTTAATTCAGCTTGTCTCTGAAAACTGTGACTTGAGTCTAAATTGCTATGCTAATATGAAACAGTTTGTGATCAGATTTCTGTCAGATATTGTTGATTACTGTGAAAGAATTCAAATTTTTAGAAAGAAAATGGGGCTGGTATTTCAATAATGTGGAATCCACTTCCTTTAAAAGGAGATGGAGCACTTGAGGTGTTCTTAGGGCAGAAATTGTCGAAATAGGCAAATTTCAACTGTTCATCCAATTAAGCAGATTTCATTCTGTGGGAGACTTGTACGTCCTACTTCCTTCTCTACAGAAAATAAAGAAAGTGACACTTCAGAATAGTAACTTGCAAAGTTCTCTTCCTTGGTCTTGACAAAACATGGGTGACGTGTTAAAGGTCCTTTGCTGTGCATAGCCCTAACTGCTGGAATGGAGTAGTATTGCTTTTTAAGTGTTGCTTGATCAAACATGAAGGTATCAGTCCCTTGCTGTTGGGATAGCTCCTAAGTTTATCCGCTCTGCACAGTAGAAAGTATACTTGTTTCTTTTTTTTTTTTTTTGCTATCTGAGAATGCTAAATGAGGGTAAAGCTCTTGATGCATATGGACTGCTGTACAAGGGAGTCAAGGGTTTCAGAATAATTGCCTTGTATCAGGGGAAGAGGAAGGGAAAAGCATTGTATGGCAAAGTCCATTCAGATGTCACCTTAAAGGTGAAACAAAAGATTCTTCTGCTCCAGTTTCTCCATTATGTACTTAACATATGTACTTAATTATGTATTGGTGGAAAAGGACCTGGGGGTGCTGACGGCCACTGAACATGAGCCAGTTTGTGCCCAGGCAGCCAAGAAGGCCAACAGCACCCTGGCCTGTATCAAAAATGGCGTGGCCAGCAGGGCCAGGGCAGTGATCGTCCCCCTGCACTCAGCACTTTGATGCCACACCTTGAATACTGTCTTCGGTTCTGGGCCCCTCGCTGCAAGAGAGACACTGAGGTGCTGGAGCATATTCAGAGAAGGGCAGCAAAGCTGGTGAAGGGCCTGAAGCACAAGTCTGATGAGGAATGGCTAAGGGAACTGGGGTTGACTTGAAACAAAAATCAAAACGCCTGTCAGTAAGGTCTAGTTAGGTGACTTGTGGGGTTTAATGTGAATTTTTTTTTTTTTGTCCTAATTTGTGGGCTTTTTATACAGTAGTCTTGAGGAAAACTCAAGGAAACTAAAACCTCACCAGACCTGGTGAGTGTCCTAGCTTAGTTGTGATGAACGTCATCCTCGAGTAAAAAGGTCACAGGCAGTTTTTAATGCAAATGCACCAACAAACCCCAAAGCCTTGCACCCAGGAGGAGTTCTCTGTCCAAGCAGAGCTGTTTATCAGTCTGTCTGGCCTGTGTGAGATGTGTAACACTTCCAGTATTTACTATGAAAGATGGCTTTGTATTTGTGTATGCTGTGGGATATAGTGCTTTAGAACAATATTTTCAGTAATTTTTATTACAATATTTTTTTCAGAAAAGAAATTTGAATAGCAAATATCATCCAGAAGTGGGGAGCATTTGATCAGCATCATGACAACTTGAAGAATTGTAGTGTTGTGTAGTTTGGTCACTGCACACTAGCTCTTTGGAAAAACCACTAACATGCAAGGGGGGTTTACAGTAAATGGCTGAATTTTATGCTTTGTAATCAGTTTTAACCAATACCAAGTTATCTCTTAGTTTGAACAGAGTGGGTTTATAGCGTTTTGCACTGTTTAAGCTCTGTCATTGGAGAGGGTAGTCTGCAATCTGAGACAAACATGTTCATCTTAAGATAAAGGCTAGCACGAAAGTGTCTTTTATGCGCAGCACTATCATCTTGAGGGTTGAGAATTCTAAATGTAATAGCATTTAATGTTCTGTAGTAAGGTTCATTGCCTTACAGAGCTTAAAAACGGGTCACTTATTGCCTTTATCACTGTCTTAACACAAACCATTGTCTTAAGCAGAATGTATTTAGAGCTTCATTTGAGTTTCTCTTTAAGACTTGTATGGGAAAAGAGCTATTATGCTCTGGTCAAATACTTTTGTAGGAGACTGCTGTTAATTCTGAAGACTGCTGAGCAGTCTTTTATTTGCATTTTTGACAGTTGATTCTTTTTGTATTGTAATCTTTATTTTAAGGAGTCAAAGCTTGTTTAATAAAGAAATAGTAAAAATTGTTGGAAAAGCTCACTGAGCACATTGTAATCTGTGAAAACCAAAAAGTTTACCTTTCTACCAAAGTCTTGCAATCTAAATAAAAGGAAACTGCAGAAAACAGCCTCTCTCCTTTTTTACACTGAATTAGAGTAATCCATACACATCTTAGTCTCACTTAATCTGATATCCAGTATTCATCTATAATTTTACAAGAATATTCTAGTTATTAAAAATAAAACTGCATACACAAGAGAAGTTGCTTGGGTTTGCACTCCTCAGTGCAAATATCTTAAACCAATTTTCTTTTCCAGAGCAGAAGAACAAGAGAAACTCAGACGTCAAAATGAAGATGACTTGGCTAAGTTACGGCCAAAAGCTGATGACTTTAGTTTAAGGAATAAATATCTCTCCAAACTAGGCGCTCAGGTATTAGTAACAAAGTAGAGGTTTTAATAACTGGGAATAGAACAATGAGATAATTATTTTAAGAACTCTGTTTGCTTCAAATAGCCAGGAAATCAACCTCTGATTAAAATGCTAAATATATGCTTGTTCTCAGAAATCAAGTCTCACCACTGGTAATTAAAAATCTAATGAAGAAAATGAGTCAACCTAGTAAGCAGAGAAGAAGGCATATTATGATGCATGATTTTTTTAATTTTATCTTTTTGCAGCTACCTGATAATTACTGTTCCTATTTATCAACAATGGCACACAGAAGCGTGTTGAAATAGCGTCTTGCCCTACTTGCAAAAGCAGAAATACATGGAATCTCCTCTCCTGGTACACAAAACTTTGTTTCCAGTACTGACAAGTACCACAGCAGAAGCAGAGTGATGCACCATGCTTTTCTGCAAACACAGATCCTATTTTTAAAATGCTCGGCTTAAGCTCCTCCTCCTATCACACATGATGCTCATGAAGAACCATCTGTCTGTTTATTTGAACCCATGAGCTATGTACTACATGCTCCTGTCTAAGATGCTCAGTGAGTAGCTTGAGACAAAAGCTAAGACTTTAGCTTCCTACACAACGATGTCTGAAATGTGAAAGCTTTCTTTCAGTAATCAAATTGTAGTGAAATGAGCTTTGGTATAGGTCTGGGTTATTTAGCCTCAAGTTAGACAACTTTGTTTCTATATTTGACAATGGTCTGTTTCATTTTTCTTACAGAAAAATGTGAGGAAAGGCTACCATTCAAGTATTTCGGAGGAAACTATGCAATTCCAGTATTACAGTTCAAAAAATGTTAGCTCTTAAATGTAATGCTAGGTCATGGATTTAGCAATAATCTCATGTAAGTCCTGATTAATGTGAAAAATAACATTTTTAAGAGGTGGTAACTAAAACTATGGAAGTCTGTTGCTGAACAGCTAGTTCCTAGTAACTCCTGCAGAGTTCAGTCTTTGACTTGTTACTCATAAAGACTCACTGATGTAATTGGACAAACTATTCCTAAACAAATCTAATCTTTCTTTAAAAGGCAAGAGCATCTGGCTGGCTGGAACACTAGGTAAACCAAAGAAAGAGCCGCTTGTAGAGTGTGAGGTGCGCAAGGGAGTGAGCTTTCCTTGGCTGACTTCAGGGAGTCCTTGTGTGCACCAAAATGCTGAAGAGCCTTTGACTGATTGACTGCAGAGAAAGTACTTTGTTATAAAAAAAAAAATGTTATATTTGTAATTTTTTTTTTTTTTTTTCCTTCAGTAATTTAAGCAGACCTTCTGGAACTTACGGTCTTAAGGGGTTTTTTAAAGATACTTTTCAGTGAAGATTTCTTTCATGCTCCTGAAAAACCAAGATCATCTTCCTGAAGGAATAAGGCAGGACTATGTTTGTTAATAGTTCTGTATTTTGAAGAACAATCTATGAAAAATCTATCTGAATTATGCTGAACTTGCTGCTGAAGGGGGGTAGTACACTGACCTGTGATAATTCTTATTGGTGCTTTCTGTGCTCCCTGTGAGAACTGAATGCTATCAGCTCTGAGACTGGTTGATACAAGTCAGTTTATGTTTCCTTGTAGACTTGTGACTGCTGGATCTTTTTTAATAAAAGTCTTAAATGGACCCTGGCACCAGTGTTTTTCTTACCAGACTGGTTAGTGATGTTTTGTTGCCCTTGGTGATTGTTGAGACTTATACATGCCTTTTAATTTTTTTTAAACAAAGGATGATTTCTGATTTACCCTGAGAAATATGTAGAGTTTCTGGGGAAGTGTATATTTGAGGATCCAAAGGCAAAGTTTCCCTCAGTCCCCCCTGCTGATGGGTTGATGCATTTCCCTTACTTGGGAAGGGAGGGAATTAGATTATTATTCATTTCCTTTAGCTTTCCCCCATTAGCTTCATCTCCTGCTTCCCCCTAATTCTGACATGTCATGGTTGTAGATAACTCCTTCGCTATTACCTGTAGATCAGCATTTTGTGTGTGGCATGACAGACAGCAACTGTGAACTTGTGTTTTTGAAACTTTATTTTAACTTGCTAAATTCTCTGTATCCTTAAGCATCTTGCTAAAGTATTGTGGTGGACTTCTGCAAATGGTGTAACTTTCTGCATCAGCTCAACTCCAAATGCCTTTGCTTTTGAGGGGTTTCAGCCCATTGATTCCCTTTTACCTTGCTTTTTTCAGTTGTGGATATGGGGCATGGGAGCTATCTGGCTTTTGTTCCCTTGTAAAGCCTTCCTCTTTCTATCAACAGTCCTTTTGCTTCTAGCCCTACATTAGAAAGTCATGACACTATTTGTCCTTCAGACATCCAATGTGTACTTCATAGTTTCAGGTTGATTATCGAAAGGAAAATGGGGTTTTAAATTCTGAAATGCAGTTTCTTTTTTGATAGAGAAAATTGGATTGTGATTGTTGCAGGAGGGGTAAGGCCAGCAGCTCCAGCAAGTGAGTGGGCTGCTTGTCTTGGCTAGGGCAGGGACTGTCTGAGCATGTGCTGCTGCAGTGTTACTTGACAATGTCTGTGCAAGTCCTGCTGCAGTGAATTTGGAATGGCTCGAGCTGAAAGCTGTTTATCTTTGTAAGACTGCCAGGTATTTTTTGCCCCTGCAAAGCTTCCCTTAATGGCTTCTACCCCCACCAGCCTGAGAAGCTGTTGGTAGAGTACAGAGAATGACTTTCCTGACTTTGATGGGCTTTTTTTGAATACCGACTTTATGGGTTGGGCTCTACTGGTCTGTAATGGTCTGACTAAAATCTGCTGGTGGATATGCACACTCGTCTGGAGATATTTATAGAAGAGTTAGTAAACATGGTAATAAACAGTAGTTCAACGTGGTATTTTGTTAAATTTATCTGAGCACATTTCCAAGGGAGGTGTAACTTATGAAGACTATAAATGGTGTTACCCATCTCTGCTATTACTTCTGCTCTCATGTGAGGTAACCCTGGGCATAGGGGGCTCCCAGAGCTGCTGTGGCTTTTGGGTGATTCTGTTCTTTTCCAGTGGGTGTGGTGTTTGGTTCTGATTTTATTTTTGTTATCTTTTAATGTCTTTTCTCCTTTTGACATGTCTTTTCTTCAGGGGTTATTGTTGGATGTTTCAGTAGGCTTTCTCAGTTAAAAAACTGGTTAATATTTCATTGTGTATCTTACCACTGTAGGTGCTCTTTTGTTGCTTTTCCTGTTGTGCAGATGGTCAAGCAAAGAGGCAAAGCACAGCTATTCAAATGAGCTGAAAGGTCCTGAAAGTTGAATGTTATGAAGAAGTTATGAACAAACAGGACCCAATTTCTTGGGTTTTCTTAAACTTGCTTTCTCCTACCTCTGCTACCTTGTCTCTGCTCCTCAGGTGTAGAAGGGGACTGCTTTTCTGCCTTTTTTTTTTGTTCTGATGCTTGTGGGGGATGTGGTCAGGCAGCGTCCCAGTTGGATCATTTGTTCTCAGCCTCAAGGACAATTCCTCTTATGCTTTTAGTGTGTTTTCTAGGTCTCATGTGGCTGGCAGCTCCTGTTGTCTCACCTTGCTTCCTCTCTGAATAATTGCTGCCCCCAGCTGGCTTGAGCAAAGAAGTGTGACTCAGCCGCTGTGGGCAGAGGTGGGTCTGCAGTTGCCTGTATCCTAAGCAATTGGCACTTCCTGGGAACAACAAATTAGGTTTTTGTTATGGTACCTGCCAAGGTCCTTATCAGGTTTTTGCACATTAAGTTTTGTACATATAGCTTGTTT